TTTTCTCTATATTTTTTTCTATGTATTCCATGCATTCATTTGCAGCTATCTTGATCATTCTCTCTTTCTCTCAATCATTCAATTCTTTTGAATTCCTTATCCAGTAGTTCCAGTACAGCTTCAAGTATCATATTATATTATATTGTATTATGTTTTCTGACTCTATCTGGTTACTTGTTTGAACCACTCGGTCTTGTGTCTTCTGTAAGCTGACATTATCTGTTGTCTCCGAGACTGTTGTGGTGGTGTATGTGTATTTAATTGGTGATTGTATTCTGGTGTACTCTTATTCACCAACTGTTCCTGGGAGGATGTGACATGTATTTGCAACATAGTTTATGTAACATAGTTCAAGATAGTTTGTCTGATGTTGACTGCTAGTTATTGTCCATCATTTGGAACAGGAATGGGTTACGGTGCTTGCTTGTTCAGTGAGTAGAGGTGCAGGAAGCATTGGATGTGGCTGGACTATAGTATGGGCACAGTTGCTGTCTCCTCTAAACAGACTACAGCAATAAGAGATCTAATGAGGTGAGATTCATGAGCCTCTTGATGTGGGGGTGGGATGCCTGCTACCTGGCCCCAGGCAGAGTAGAGGCTACCACAGAAGGGTGTGCTTGGGTGGGGGCTGACCATACCTCTGTCCCCAGGAGGGCTCAGGGAACAAAGGAACCATATCCGTCCAGTCTGAATCCTGCTGATTCACTGCAGCCTGCAGAAAGCTCACATGGCCAAGCCAGTCCAGGCCAGGCCAGCCAATACGGTCCACCCATCTCTCCCCTCTTGCTGCTCCTAGTCCGCATGGACTCCACTCTCTGTCCTTCCCTCTGAAGGCTCCAGAGTCACCATCCGTATGTTCCCCTTGGTCTCTTGGGGTCTTATTACAGAGGGTCTGCTCAGTGCATCTTGCCCTGGAAGAGTCTCAATCAATTTGGCTTTTTGACTGCCAGTCTAGTCTTGTTGAACTGATTGGCAGGACTGGGTGGCACCCTGTTACCTCCCAGGAGTTGTACACCTCACCCACCTTACTCCTTTCCTGGGGACATGGTCTCACGCATTCACACCCCTAATAGAAATCTTAATCCTGTCTTTATCAATGGGAATTAGCATACACAACTGCTATCTGAGGAACAGAGAGTGAAACATACTCTGCTGTAAAATTTCTGAAGGTCTGTTATCAACACTAAAGAGCTCTGGTAGCACTGTGGTTAC